ATCTGTACGTCAAATAAGTAAAGCGTTCATCAATATCCTTGTTTTTCCCCGTTTAATATCGTGTAATGTGTATTAGCATAAATTGATTCTCATTAGCATTTTTTATCCGGTTATKTGAAATCGTTCTAATGAAAAAGAGAATCCTAAAATAGGCAGCATTTGCTCCCCAAAGACCAACAACACTGTTTATAATCAATTATTGATGGTGATAATGATAATGGCAATAGYGTACCTGATCCAATAGTCCACTCAAAGGTGCAATATGTCCAGGGCAAACAGCTGCTTGTAGATTAAACAACTGCTTCATGACATCCAGAGATTTAGAATCAGAYTCCAGTAATCCAGCAGTAAGTGGACAAAACTTTGTAATAGCTTGCATCAAACAAGAATTTTCATCTGAACTTAGCCCTAATCACATCAACAAAATGTTAAGAAATTCACTGAAAATGGGCCATAAATTCAATAAATTCAATAAATAAATTCAAGGCTGCCTGACGTTTATACACTAAAAACTAAACTTCAGGCAATTCTTTTTTTTTTTGGGAAAAACCGTCGGAACAACGATTAGATAATTTCAATCAATAAAACAAGAGTAACAGACTGAAATAATACTGTTCAACAAGGTTGTATACACAAGCACGGAGATTTTCCGAATGCATGACGTTTAGTTTTTAGTGTCTAAACGGCATTCAAAGCAAGTGTGTTACAGTCTGAAATATATTTTCAAATAATTTTTCCAGGTTCAGTATCAGATATGAACTCTGTGCTTTCCATATCATGAGGTCAATTGACCATCAAACACGGGGAACACAAATATCATCATTTACTATGAAGCTAAACATTAAAGACAATCGATTTTATCAATAATTATGACTAACATACATAAACTACCTGTAGTATACTTCATTGATCATACCTGAAACCTGTGCTTTGTTGATAGTTCTCTCCACCCATGGTAGACATGAAGTAAACATTGCCTGGAAAAAAATGAAGCTTAGTAAAGAGCATGGTCAAAGAATCAGCTATGTATTAATCATTGTATTTTTTTTTCATTTTTTTTGTTATTTCCNGCTAATTTTAAGATGCTTTTCTGGTTTCAACTTTCAGGAAGACCAGTGAGTGATGATGTCAATTATTTGTATAATGTAAGTGATTTAGTATACTTTAATCTTGAATTACCTGGGTGACCACACCAGTCATGACCATCCAAAGACACTTTTGGATATGTGTGGGTGTCTCTTGACTGACAATGTGTCTTGTAATGAATGTTAACAGTCCTTCAAGGAGTTTTTCTTCAGATGTTTTCTTGGCTTTGCTTGATTTGTGATTTAGACAACTAAATGCCGAAGCAAGCATTCTATTTAACAAACAAAAAGAAAATTAGCACATTTAGCAGTTAAACCTGACCTGAGGGAAGTCTTGAGGAGATGGTAGATTATATTCTTCCAATCAAAGTACAGCATTTTGCAGCATATTGGAATGGGTTAAGTCACAGAAATATTCTGAAATATTATGATGTGCATTGCATTGTGGTCTAGGTTAGGCGCAGGTACCTTTAGTTCATCCATCTAAATATGGTGTTTGTTATATACCATATTTTTTTCTACTTTAATTTGAAACTACTACATAAAAAGAAATTCCTAATATTCTCTCTGACAAGAACATTTGACTACGTTATCCAGATGTTAATACTAGGTAAATATCAAACATTCAAAAACTCATACATAATTAATGAGCTACTAGGCCAATAGAATGAGCCCATTTGGTCACATGCATGGACCTTCATTACGTGATTTGAGTTCCAAATAAGTGTTGGAGTATTTGAAGCCGTTTTAAAACACACGAGATCGTGTTTTATCGGGTATAAAGATTCTTGCCTTCGCTTGAATCTTTATACCTGATAAAACACTCTCTCTCGTGTTTTAAACTATACTTAATCTCAATGCATGACTGAGCTTCTTGTCTTTAGCAGCTGCTAAAATATTCTCTCTTCCATTCATTTAATATGCCTCTATTTGTTGATTTACATTTACTTATTGCACAAGAAATTATCTGATGAATAATATACTGCACTGCTGTATTTCTACAGTACCTTGGCAGATGTTCATGGTCAACTTTGATTTCTTCACCACTTTCAGCTAGCAGTCCAACAAGTGTACCAACAGGGGGAGGCACAGTACTATTGGTCTTGAGAGTCTTAATACACTGTACAGCCGCATTCCTTAATCTTTCGACAGGACTTGTCAACGGCATCAAAAGTGATATTACCACTGAAATGATACGATGTTTTGAATGCAATGTTAATTACAGTAAAACTCAGACAAATAAGGTGTCAAAGATTTCCCCTAGTCTGCCAATACTTCATTTTAAAGCATTATCTTAAGAGATAGCCATGAAGTCTTTGCATCAAAATGAASTGCTGYCKTATATCAATGCAAAAGCTTGGCTAMCWTTCAAGATGGAACCGGGAACTACAAAATGGAGTGTAAATTAAAGTTCAAAATAAATTCTTATGATGATACACATATATGTAGATGTGCCATTTTAATCAAATGCTATGTATTTTATATATTTAACAAATATATCAGATGTTGGAGCTCAAAAGGGGTCTTACTTCAAAATCTCCACTCTTGGACTGCATACATGTATAAACTGTTACATCATCAAAATGGTATTATAGCCCTTATAAGCATCCCTTTTGAGTTCGCACACCTCAWATGTTTCTACCTGATGGTAAATCACTGCATAGTTGTTTGATAGASTGTTTATTCAATGCAAGCCAGGTGTCAGCTATCTGTAGACTATGGTGCTGTAAAAGTTGAGACTTCGCGGGGGATTCATGGACCATCAATGGATGATTGCTCCATATCATGCTTAAGAACTTCAATAGAGAGTCGCTACTGGAGAAATGACACTAAAAACAATAACAATTACTAATATTATATAAAAATTAATAATAATAATTATATTTAATTATTAATAATAGAAAATTAAAGTGTCAAATAAAGGTGTAAAAGACCTCTGTCAATAGTCGACTTTAAATAGATATCCTTTTGGTTGAATAACCGTGTACAAAAGAATAGCAAATGAAGCCTGAGAAAAAATTGATACAATCCTATTTAATGCATTCCTATATTTCCCCAGAGTCTTGCCTAMCATTCCTTTATTGAGCATTGTTGAGTATTTATAACCTTACCTTCATTAAYTGCTGCATTAACTGTCTATATGTAGAATAGTGTACAGTAGACTTTCCTCTATTAGTTCCATAAACTGTCACAGAAAATACTGACAACAAAACCTGAAAGACATAATTTAGATTTAAAGCTCAGTCATTCCTGAAAAGACAATAGTTTTTCACGATTGCCTGAGATTTACGCACAATGCCTCATCTTGATTCTTTTGTGTTTGACAACTGGAGCGAAATTCGCAAATCGGCTATTATATCACGCTAGTTTACTGCTAGTTTTCACCATTATGATAATTATATCAGCCCAATTAAAGGAGACACTTTTAACATTTACATGTAATTTCACATAGCATTAAAACCCAAGTGGCATTAAAACATCATTATCTAGTCTATAGAGTGATGTGTATTATATAACAATAAGAATACCTTGGTATATTTTGATTCTGGTGAGCTTTCATCATCGATGCTGCACCACATTCCTATAGAAAAAGTCATTTGATCTTAATACTCCAGTTTCTACATGTAGATCTTATTTCAAACTTGTAAGCATGTAATATATTCTTTTATTCAGCAGAGAATGTAGTATTGTAATGCAAACACTCTGTCTACGAAGAAGACAATAAAAAACTATGCTTCATTGAATCTACAGCTTGCACAAAAGATCATTCGAAACTAGAGTATTGAGATAATGTAATTAATGGTGATCAAATGTCTTGATTATTTTGATAATATTCATAAGAGCTATGCATTAATGGGTGATTTGCACTTACAGGTCATGTGACCATCCCAAAAACAAGAATAATATGAAAACAAATTCCAGAAATGAAAAAAAAAAAACACCTCACTCTGCTGACTAAGCATTTCCACTGACCAAAAATAATAATTGTTTAGGGACAAAGCAGTACAGCCTTAGCCTATTCCATCCTCTCAATGATAAACCCCAACAAGTAGCAAGGTAGAAATAAGAGAGGTACAAGAGACTTGTAAACCTACCAAACTGGACCAAACAGAATACATGTACCAGTATGCAACCTTACATGTACTTGACTAAAACAAACTTCCCTGATAACTACCTAGCTGTAATGCTCATGACAATGAAAATAATCATTCTTACCTTTAAAAACACTACCATTTCCAGGAATATGTCTAACAAAGTTACCAAACAACCACAGATTAACTGCACTTTTTGYCATGTTAGTCCTTCTAATTCTGTTYTTTGTCCAGTGATGAATAAATACCGACAACAGTTTAACAGGTACAAGGCCATCATCATTACTGGATAGCATCTCATCCTTAAAAAATACCAATAGTAGTGAGTGAATGAAGTTAGGAAAGACAAGATTCATGTTAATGTAAGTGGAAGGGAAGATGTCTGAAATAGGCATGCTGGAAGAAAAATATACAGGTAGGAAGAGAATTTAAAGAATTTCAGGCAAGAAAAATTGACTAGGAGGAATAGGAGGAAAGAACAGAAGAAATCTAGAGTAGGAGGGAATTACGAATGGCCAGAAGGTAAAGATCAGAAAAGGAAGTTACCACAGACATCCATGTAAATTATCTACATTTTTATTATAAATTCAACACCACATTTTACTCAAGTCGACCATGTTACGTGACAGTGCCTGCAGCAGACGGGTGCTATCAGTGCATAGAGCCTGCCTCTTCTCAAATTTTTATCGTTGAGAAATAAGAATTGAATAACTGGCATTTTTGGCATTTTGCTGTGATCGTTGCCCTTGGAAACTGGATAATCCTCAAAACTTCATAGTCGCCCTCAAACTGCGCTCTCGTGAAACTATTGCCTTTCAGAACATTAAGTTTCTCCAGGCAACTATCACAGCATAATGCCATTCAACTACTCTCTATTATTTGAATAATAATTCATTACAGTTGAGCAAATAATCCAAGATCTCACCTCTACACTAACACTATGTGATCCATCTTGTAATTCTACACCATGAAGACTTGATACAAGTAATTCCAAA